ATAACATGGTGGATGGTTAGGGCCTATCCACCCATAACATGGTAGATGGGAAGGGCCTATCCACCCATAACATGGTGGATGGGAAGGGCCTATCCCCCCATAGCATGGTGGATGGGAAGAAGCTATCCACCCATAACATGGTGGATGGGAAGGAGCTATCCTCCCATAACATGGTGGATGGGAAGGAGCTATCCACCCATAACATGGTGGATGGGAAGGAGCTATCCACCCATAACATGGTGGATGGGAAGGAGCTATCCACCCATAACATGGTAGATGGGAAGGGACTATCCACCCATAACATGGTGGATAGGAAGGGCCTATCCACCCATAACATGGTGGATGGGAAGGAGCTATCCACCCACAACATGGTGGATGGGAAGGAGCTATCCACCCATAACATGGTGGATGGAAAGGAGCTATCCACCCACAACATGGTGGATGGGAAGGGCTTATCCACCCACAACATGGTGGATGGGAAGGAGCTATCCACCCACAACATGGTGGATGGGAAGGGCTTATCCACCCATAACATGGTGGATGGGAAGGAGCTATCCACCCATAACATGGTGGATGGGAAGGAGCTATCCACTCATAACATGGTGGATGGGAAGGAGCTATCCACCCATAACATGGTGGATGGGAAGGAGCTATCCACCCATAACATGGTGGATGGGAAGGGCCTATCCACCCACAACATGGTGGATGGGAAGGGCCTATTCATCCATAACATGGTGGATGGGAAGGAGCTATCCACCCATAACATGGTGGATGGGAAGGAGCTATCCACCCATAACATGGTGGATGGAAAGGAGCTATCCACCCACAACATGGTGGATGGGAAGGGCTTATCCACCCACAACATGGTGGATAGGAAGGAGCTATCCACCCACAACATGGTGGATGGGAAGGGCTTATCCACCCATAACATGGTGGATGGGAAGGAGCTATCCACCCATAACATGGTGGATGGGAAGGAGCTATCCACCCATAACATGGTGGATGGGAAGGGCCTATCCGCCCACAACATGGTGGATGGGAAGGAGCTATCCACCCATAACATGGTGGATGGGAAGGGCCTATCCACCCATAACATGGTGGATGGGAAGGAGCTATCCACCCATAACATGGTGGATGGGAAGGAGCTATCCACCCATAACATGGTGGATGGGAAGGGCCTATCCACCCATAACATGGTGGATGGGAAGGAGCTATCCACCCATAACATGGTGGATGGGAAGGGCCTATCCACCCATAACATGGTGGATGGGAAGGGCCTATCCACCCATAACATGGTGGATGGGAAGGGCCTATCCACCCATAACATGGTGGATGGGAAGGGCCTATCCACCCATAACCTATCCTCCCATAACATGGTGGATGGAAGGGCCTATCCACCCATAACATGGTGGATGGGAAGGGCCTATCCACCCATAACATGGTGGATGGGAAGGAGCTATCCACCCATAACATAGTGGATGGGAAGGGCCTATCCACCCATAACATGGTGGATAGGAAGGGCCTATCCACCTATAACATGGTGGACAACGAGAAGGTAAGACACCATTACTGAAGCACATGGTTACCATGCTAAGCTAACATGTGTGTACACAAAGCTAACATGTGTGTACACTAAGCTAACATGTGTGTACACAAAGCTAACATGTGTTTACACAATCAAACACAGGGGGTCACTCTCAATCTGGGGACTCCACTGATTGGGTAATCACCCAATCCGGGAATTGGGTGATTACCTGCTAATCACCAAGACATGGTACCATAACCCGATGACGAAACCATCTTCTCCTACTAAGCACGTTGCTTTTCTCTCGTATGCGTTACATACGGCCAAAAAGGGTCGTAGTAGAAAATGGAAGCGGCTCGCGAAAGTGAAGTACTGTCCCGTTTTCTGTTTTGGGCCCTCTGGTAGGTTAGGCAACCCGTCCTCGACTCAAGTCCATTCCATCCAGCGGTCGACCCCACACACGCATTCATAAATTTTAACATGCTGTTCATTCAAAACGGGAATTTTCTCAAGTATAAATTAATATTATAATATATTAGCATATTGTGTATATATAGGCATAGGTTAGGTTAGGTGTTTAGGTTCTGTTGGCGATTATTTGTATTTGTAGTACGTGGGTGAAGCATTTACAGCGTTGTGGTTCGAACACCAGTCGTCAGTGAAGCACTTGTTCCGGAAGTGTTCGAACCTCAGCAGTTGTGAGTCTTGTGTAAACAGTTTTTCATTTATAAACAGCTAAGGGGTTTGGCGGGTGCATGGAATCACTTTTGGATCTTTGTTTGGAGGACGGGCTGTAAAATTCATGAAATTTAACGCTCGTCTTTGGGGTCGACCGCTGGATGGAATGGTCTGAGGACGGGTCGAGTTCACCACACTGGCTTCTCTGTACCTTATCACACGCAGCTCTTCGGTAACTATCCACCTTGTCTCAGACGCACCTAATTGGAGACCGCTTGTTTACTCTCTACTGGCAGTATTTGCAGTTCAATCCTTCTTCAGATGTTATCCCATCAATCCTGCAATCACCAGTCATTCAGTTCTGGTTTTTACAGATACAAAAATCACTTAAATTACTGATGACTTAGGAAAGAGGCTGCCTTTTTGAGCGCGAAAACAACGTCCTTCCCGTACAAAGTCTTTAACTCGAATCCCTCACTGGTCTCCGGTTGGTGTCTTGGGAGACTCCATGACGTCATGGGCTGACAACCAATCAGAACACTAGGCCTCCCTAACTCGACTGCAGATGGAAAATGATTGGAAGCGACACTGTGCTGGCTTTTCCCGCCACAGCTAGTTCCGCGGCGTCTCACCAGAGAGCGCCACCATCGCAAGCGGGAAAATGGCGAGATTTTGCGGTCAGCTGGGACAACGGTTTGAATAGGCCTTCTGCCTCTCAATCACTTGCCTCATAATCAAATGACTTAGGTCGACGCTGGCAAAGTTTCTGTTGAACTACTCTTTGCATGAGAGATCTGTTGACATTAAACATGACACATATCAGACAAGATTTAAGGAACTAAGGATCTAAGGTTTCAACCCTTTTAACCCTGTCGTAGCTCAGTCGATTAAGGCAGTGTCTGGGATGCTCCCGGATGCAGGTTCGAATCCTCGTCACGGCCCTTGTGGATTTGTTCAAGATCTAAGGAAGTTGTACCATGCCAGCACACCTACGAGAGACTCTTACACCAAGAGCTTGGGCACTGGGAGACAATTCTCTCACAAACGAGGCTCTGAGCCTGTTATCTTAAACGGGTTAACGTTGTAGTGCGTTGATTTTATCACCATAATCGCTCCTACCGTTCACAGTTACCACCACCAGCCTCACGCCCATAAATAAGGCTGATGGTGGTTCCACCACAACTACCACAACTACCAACACCTCCACCATCCCCTCCTACGCCTTCCAGTACCAACCACAACTACCAACACCTCCACCATCCCCTCCTACGCCTTCCAGTACCAACCACAACTACCAACACCTCCACCATCCCCTCCTACGCCTTCCAGTACCAACCACAACTACCAACACCTCCACCATCCCCTCCTACGCCTTCCAGTACCAACCACAACTACCAACACCTACACCATCCCCTCCTACGCCTTCCAGTACCAACCACAACTACCAACACCTCCACCATCCCCTCCTACGCCTTCCAGTACCAACCACAACTACCAACACCTCCACCATCCCCTCCTACGCCTTCCAGTACCAACCACAACTACCAACACCTCCACCATCCCCTCCTACGCCTTCCAGTACCAACCACAACTACCAACCTCCTTCCTACCACTTGCTACAACCATCCCCACCCACCACCACACTGACGGGGTCTTCAGTGCCCCCTGATGTGTCTCAAGATGTCTCAAGATGTTCCCCCTTGCACATCCATTAAAAACTGTTCCACCAAAAACAGGGAGCCTGTCGGCCGAGCGGACAGCACGCTGGACTTGTGATCCTGTGGTCCCGGGTTCGATCCCGGGCGCCGGAGAGAAACAATGGGCAGAGTTTCTTTCAGCCTATGCCCCTGTTAGCAGTAAAATAGGTACCTGGGTGTTAGTCAGCTGTCACGGGCTGCTTCCTGGGGGTGGAGGCCTGGTCGAGGACCGGGCCGCGGGGGCACTAAAGCCCCGAAATCATCCCAAGATAACCTCAAGATAACCCATTCCTTATTTAATCATGTAACGTTACATGAACCTGTAGCATATACTTACATGTACCATATGTATATTAAGGCACACTGTGGACCTATTGGTCCAAAGCATTTCTTATTTATGTATTAAGAATATGTAGTCTCGGTAGAATATGTAGAATTTATGTATTCTCAGTGTATTAAGAATATGACCCTAAGTCGCGTCGAAATCTCCAAGCCAGCAGCAAATATATATTATATTTAAAATATACAGTTCTAAACACATTCTTTTAAAGAACAGTTATGTTGCTTCCAATGTTCCTGTTCAATCATGTCACTCCGCCATAGAGGCGATATTAGACCACAACACTGTGTATAAGTGACCTTAAGGATAGCACTTACTTCATCTTTAACTCCTAAAGTCTTAGTTTATCCTTTGTATGTAAGTATCCCGAAATCATTTTTGTTTCCTCATTAAAAACTCATTAGTGTCCAGGTGTGAAATTTCTATTATCTCTTACGCTGGAAATCCCAAATCTTTCAAATGATATATTTTTGGTTAATTCATCTTTGGGGGCCTGACAGCTGAGTGGAGAACGCTAGGGATTCGTAGTCCTGAGGTTCCGGGTTCAATCCCCAGTAGAAGCGGAAATAAATGGGCAATGGTTTCTGTCACTGTGACGCCCCTGTTCACCTAGCAGTAAATAGGTACCTGGGAGATAGACAGCTGCTACGGGCTGCTTCCTGGGGGTTGAGGACCGGGCCGCGGGGGACGCTAAATCCCGAAATCATCTCAAGATAACCACAACAAGATAACCACACCAGGTGGTATCTATCACATGCATATGACTTCACCACCAAAATATTGCACCATACACATAATTACACATTCACAAAAATGCCCACTTACACATGATGCACTTACACATGATGCACTTACACATGATGCACTTACACATGATGCACTTACACACGATGCACTTACACACGATGCACTTACACACGATGCACTTACACACGATGCACTTACACATGATGCACTTACACATGATGCACTTACACACGATGCACTTACACATGATGCACTTACACATGATGCACTTACACATGATGCACTTACACATGATGCACTTACACACGATGCACTTACACACGATGCACTTACACACGATGCACTTACACATGATGCACTTACACATGATGCACTTACACATGATGCACTTACACATGATGCACTTACACATGATGCACTTACACACGATGCACTTACACATGATGCACTTACACATGATGCACTTACACACGATGCACTTACACATGATGCACTTACACATGATGCACTTACACACGATGATGCACTTACACATGATGCACTTACACACGATGCACTTACACATGATGCACTTACACACGATGCACTTACACACGATGCACTTACACACGATGCACTTACACATGATGCACTTACACATGATGCACTTACACACGATGCACTTACACATGATACTTACACACACTTGATGCACTTACACATGATGCACTTACACATGATGCACTTACACACGATGCACTTGATGCACTTACACATGATGCACTTACACATGATGCACTTACACATGATGCACTTACACATGATGCACTTACACACGATGCACTTACACATGATGCACTTACACATGATGCACTTACACATGATGCACTTACACATGATGCACTTACACACGATGCACTTACACATGATGCACTTACACATGATGCACTTACACACGATGCACTTACACATGATGCCCTTACACATGATGCACTTACACATGATGCACTTACACATGATGCACTTACACACGATGCACTTACACACGATGCACTTACACATGATGCACTTACACATGATGCACTTACACACGATGCACTTACACACGATGCACTTACACACGATGCACTTACACATGATGCACTTACACATGATGCACTTACACATGATGCACTTACACATGATGCACTTACACATGATACTTACACGATGCACTTACACACGATGCACTTACACACGATGCACTTACACACGATGCACTTACACATGATGCACTTACACATGATGCACTTACACATGATGCACTTACACACGATGCACTTACACACGATGCACTTACACATGATGCACTTACACATGATGCACTTACACATGATGCACTTGCACAAACGCTAAATCTACACAGAACTAGCAACATAGAGAGCTCGAGAACCACACACTAGAAGGTGAAGGGACGACGACGTTTCGGTCCGCCCTGGACCACTATCAAGTCCACTGTGATAGGACCGAGTTGGTTTTGATTTCGCTACTTGGAACCGAAATATGCAGGTAGCACGGGCTATGGAGAGCCCGTAAGGAAGCAAGGGAGGCACGGGCATTCAGTAAGGCAAGAGAGAGAGAGAGAGAGAGAGGTAAGGTGCAGGAAAGAGGAAATTCTTAAGGGAAGGTAAGAAGGGAAGCTGGTTGGCCGAGCGGACAGCACGCTGGACTTGTGATCCTGTGGTGCTGGGTTCGATCCCAGGCGCCGGCGAGAAACAATGGGCAGAGTTTCTTTCATCCTATGCCCCTGTTACCTAGCAGTAAAATACGTACCTGGGTGTTAGTCAGCTGTCACGGGCTGCTTCCTAGGGGTGGAGGCCTGGTCGAGGACCGGGCCGCGGGGACACTAAAGCCCCGAAATCATCTCAAGATAACCTCAAGATAAGAAGAAGAATACGGCGAAAGGTATGGATGGAGTCTAAGAATGGGAACGTAAGAATACGAGGAGAAAGAATACATTACAAGGAATATGTTGTATTAGAGGTTAGGGCCAAAGATAACCTCTAATCTCTATATGGTGCAGTCGACATTCACAAAATAAAAAAAAAATACACTAATGCATTGCAGTCAATGAGATTCACATACAAATTTGATATACCAATCGTGAAGCGCTGAGATTCACATACAAACTGGATATCCCAATTACGAAGCGTGGAGATTCACATACAAATTTGATATACCAATCGCGAAGAGTGGAGATTCACATACAAATTTGATATACCAATCGCGAAGCGCTGAGATTCACATACAAACTGGATATCCCAATTACGAAGCATGGAGATTCACATACAAATTTGATATACCAATCGCGAAGCGCTGAGATTCACATACAAACTGGATATCCCAATTACGAAGCGTGGAGATTCACATACAAATTTGATATACCAATCGCGAAGAGTGGAGATTCACATACAAATTTGATATACCAATCGCGAAGCGCTGAGATTCACATACAAACTGGATATCCCAATTACGAAGCATGGAGATTCACATACAAATTTGATATACCAATCGCGAAGAGTGGAGATTCACATACAAATTTGATATACCAATCACGAAGCGCTGAGATTTACCAATTTGATATCCCAATTACGAAGCGTGACAATAAACAAAATGCTTCGTGTTTGTCCCATTTTACACTACTGTAGAGTTGTGGTAGTGCCGAATGGTGGTTGCGGCGTGGTGCGGGTACTTACCGGGTATGGTAGTGCGGATGCGGGTAGTTGCTAGGTGTGGTAGCAGGGGGATACAAGTGGTAGCGAGGTGACTGCCGGGGTAGCAGGAAGGTGGGATAATGTGGGAGGTAGTGTGAGTGTACGGAGCTGTGTGGTAAACGCCGGTGTGTAGGTTGAAGGTGGCCTAGAAGGGGCGCGGCCAGGCGACAATATCACACCTCCCCGCGAAGCTTTACGGCCGCCGCTCCTGCTGAAAAACATAGCCCCCTGGCCAACTTTTTGCCTCTCCAGTATACTGCCCTCTAATGGATTTTAAATTGTTGAGCTCTTTTCAGCCTCTATACTTATTGCCTCATATACCAGGGCATTTTTTTCCCTTGTAAAATATACGCGGATGAATGGGTAACCTTGAGTCCTTGTGTTGCGCGTTGCGTCAGTGTTGCTTGTTGCGTCAGTGTTGCTTGTTGCGTCAGTGTTGCTTGTTGCGTCAGTGTTGCTCGTTGCGTCAGTGTTGCTTGTTGCGTCAGTGTTGCTTGTTGCGTCAGTGTTGATTGTTGCGTCAGTGTTGCTTGTTGCGTCAGTGTTGCTTGTTGCGTCAGTGTTGCTTGTTGCGTCAGTGTTGCTTGTTGCGTCAGTGTTGCGCGTTGCGTCAGTGTTGCGCGTTGCGTCAGTGTTGCGCGTTGCATCAGTGTTGGTCGTTGCGCCAGTGTTGGTCGTTGCGTCAGTGTTGCTAGTTGCGTCAGTGTTGCTAGTTGCGTCAGTGTTGCTAGTTGCGTCAGTGTTGTTTGTTGCGTCAGTGTTGCTAGTTGCGTCAGTGTTGGTCGTTGCGTCAGTGTTGCTAGTTGCGTCAGTGTTGCTAGTTGCGTCAGTGTTGCTAGTTGCGTCAGTGTTGTTTGTTGCGTCAGTGTTGCTAGTTGCGTCAGTGTTGCTTGTTGCGTCAGTGTTGCTTGTTGCGTCAACGACGGCGACATGGCAGATGCGCTCTAGCTGAGAGAGACAGCCCCCCAGCTGAGAGAGACAGCCCCCAGCTGAGAGAGACAACCCCCCAGCTGAGAGAGACAGCCCGCCAGCTGAGAGAGACAGCCCCCCAGCTGAGAGAGACAGCCCCCCAGCTGAGAGAGACAGCCCCCTAGCTGAGAGAGACAGCCCCCCAGCTGAGAGACAGCCCCCCAGCAGAGAGACAGCCCCCCAGCAGAGAGACAGCCCCCCAGCTGAGAGAGACAGCCCCCCAGCAGAGAGACAGCCCCCCAGCTGAGAGACACAGACCCCCAGCTGAGAGAGACAGCCCCCCAGCTGAGAGAGACAGCCCCCAGCTGAGAGAGCCAGCCTCCCAGCTGAGAGAGACAGCCCCCCAGCTGGGAGAGACAGAGCCCCAGCTGAGACAGCCCCCAGCTGAGAGACACAGCCCCTAGCTGAGAGAGCCAGCCTCCCAGCTGAGAGAGACAGCCCCCCAGCTGAGAGAGACAGCCCCCCCAGCTGAGAGAGACAGCCCCCCAGCTGAGAGAGACAGCCCCCCAGCTGAGAGAGACAGCCCCCCAGCTGAGAGAGACAGCCCCCCAGCTGAGAGAGACAGCCCCCCAGCTGAGAGAGACAGCCCCCAGCTGAGAGAGACAGCCCCCCAGCTGAGAGAGACAGCCCGCCAGCTGAGAGAGACAGCCCGCCAGCTGAGAGAGACAGCCATCAGCTGAGAGAGACAGCCCCCCAGCTGAGAGAGACAGCCCCCCAGCTGAGAGAGACAGCCCCCCAGCTGAGAGAGACAGCCCCCAGCTGAGAGAGACAGCCCCCCAGCTGAGAGAGACAGCCCCCCCAACTGAGAGAGACAGCCCCCAGCTGAGAGACAGCCCCCAGCTGAGAGAGACAGCCCCCCAGCTGAGAGAGACAGCCCCAGCTGAGAGAGACAGTCCCCCAGCTGAGAGAGACAGCCCCCCAGCTGAGAGAGACAGCCCCCAGCTGAGACACAGCCCCCCAGCTGAGAGAGACAGCCCCCCAGCTGAGAGAGACAGCCCCCAGCTGAGACACAGCCCCCAGCTGAGACAGACAGCCCCCGAGCTGAGAGACAGCCCCCAACTGAGAGAGACAGCCCCCCAGCTGAGAGAGACAGCCCCCCAGCTGAGAGAGACAGCCCCCAGCTGAGACACAGCCCCCCAGCTGAAAGAGACAGCCCCCGAGCTGAGAGACAGCCCCCCACCTGAGAGAGACAGCCCCCCAGCTGAGAGAGACAGCCCCCAGCTGAGACACAGCCCCCCAGCTGAGAGAGACAGCCCCCAGCTGAGACACAACCCCCCAGCTGAGAGACACAGACCCCCAGCTGAGAGACACAGACCCCCAGCTGAGAGAGACAGCCCCCAGCTGAGACACAGCCCCCCAGCTGAGAGAGACAGCCCCCAGCTGAGACACAGCCCCCCAGCTGAGAGAGACAGCCCCCGAGCTGAGAGACACAACCCCCCAGCTGAGACACAGCCCCCCAGCTGAGAGAGACAGTCCCCCAGCTGAGAGAGACAGCCCCCAGCTGAGAGAGACAGACCCCCAGCTGAGAGAGACAGCCCCCAGCTGAGACACAGCCCCCCAGCTGAGAGAGACAGCCCCCAGCTGAGACACAGCCCCCCAGCTGAGAGAGACAGCCCCCGAGCTGAGAGACACAACCCCCCAGCTGAGAGAGACAGCCCCCCAGCTGAGAGAGACAGCCCCCAGCTGAGAGAGACAGACCCCCAGCTGAGAGAGACAGCCCCCAGCTGAGACACAGCCCCCCAGCTGAGAGAGACAGCCCCCAGCTGAGACACAGCCCCCCAGCTGAGACACAGCCCCCCAGCTGAGAGAGACAGCCCCCAGCTGAGAGACACAGCCCCCGAGCTGAGAGACAGCCCCCAGCTGAGAGAGACAGCCCCCGAGCTGAGAGACACAACCCCCCAGCTGAGAGAGACAGCCCCCCAGCTGAGAGAGACAGCCCCCAGCTGAGAGAGACAGACCCCCAGCTGAGAGAGACAGCCCCCAGCTGAGACACAGCCCCCCAGCTGAGAGAGACAGCCCCCAGCTGAGACACAGCCCCCCAGCTGAGAGAGACAGCCCCCGAGCTGAGAGACACAACCCCCCAGCTGAGAGACACAGCCCCCCAGCTGAGAGAGACAGTCCCCCAGCTGAGACACAGCCCCCAGCTGAGAGAGACAGCCCCCCAGCTGAGAGAGACAGCCCCCAGCTGAGAGAGACAGACCCCCAGCTGAGAGAGACAGCCCCCAGCTGAGACACAGCCCCCCAGCTGAGAGAGACAGCCCCCAGCTGAGACACAGCCCCCCAGCTGAGACACAGCCCCCCAGCTGAGAGAGACAGCCCCCAGCTGAGAGACACCGCCCCCGAGCTGAGAGACAGCCCCCCAGCTGAGAGAGACAGCCCCCCAGCTGAGAGAGACAGCCCCCGAGCTGAGAGACACAACCCCCCAGCTGAGACACAGCCCCCCAGCTGAGACACAGCCCCCCAGCTGAGAGACAGCTCCCAGCTGAGACACAGCCCCCCAGCTGAGAGAGAGAGCCCCCAGCTGAGAGAGACAGCCCCCAGCTGAGAG